GACATGAGCTAGGAGATCATGCAATTTCCATCTTACTCAAACAGACTCACCACCAGTACTGGTCATATAGGGGATCAAGGAAGTTTTGTGGTCTAGGCAAAAGAACACATTGGTTTGATTCTGTAAAGTTGATCGTAGTTTGATGGATCGTATTCTATATTCTGACGAAAATACATTGGTCAGTAGAACAACGTAGTGTGTAGTACCTTGTCGAGCCCACATAAGTCATTCAAGCTTCTGAACAAACTAAGTTATTTATTCTCCTCAAGTTATATTTTGGCCTTTAACTCAAATATAAGGCCCTGAAAATGGCAATGTGACCTCCCTAATTCTATTCTACTAACTGCCTATTGCAGTAGAGAAAAGGAATGAATACAACTGACAAAACCCGAGCTACTGCTTTATGTTATACAGACTTGGCGTCAAATGTACATTGAGGACGTTAAGTGGGGGGGGGGTAAATTAGGGTATAGATCCGCTTGGCTTAGAAGATACATAAATGCCTTACCAATAATAATCTTTGGGTATCCTCTCGTTTTTCGAGGAATTATGATACTGTGAACTGTCTTCTAAAGTGCAATAAGTTAAACACAACAAATTCCTTGACAACCACTTCATTGCGAGTTACTGCACATGAATAAAAGGCTCATGGTGGATAAGTTATTTTCCACCGCCAGCCTGTACTACATTTGAAAAAGTGAATTAGTAGTTAAACGCTTAATGTTGGGTAAATAAGTCTCAGTTCATACGAAAGGCAAGCGTGAAACCATATACTTCCTAAATACAAGCATATTGAGAACGGCATCCTTGATATTCTATTCAATTTAACTCCAGCAATTGTCTCTCATGCACCCACTGATGCCTTAATATTTTTGGAAAACAGATCACACCAATTACGTAAATATTTCGGCTCTGAATAAAATTTAGTGTGGCTGTGATATATTTGTTGGTGGAATAAAGTTGATGAAGAGAATATTATCTTCATTCTTTCTTACTAAGAATATGAAATAAAAAGAAACTTGAAACTAGTCACGTTTTTCAGGTAACATTGAGCTTACTTATCAGAATTATCGTCTGTAGACTTCACTAGTATCAGTGACATTTACGACATTAATATTAATCGTCCAATCACACAGTGACGCACAGTCTACTGGCATCTAAATAGTGCGGTTTCACACATGTCAACTCTTATCATAGATACAGAGGAGTAGGGATTCAAGTTAATAAGTTCTGTAGATGTAGTTTTTATAGATCTCAAAAAGTGATTGACAACGTGTGTTACGAATAGATTCACCCCTTTGTCTGCACCAAGCAGCTCTAGATCGGGGATTTCTTTACATTGAACTAAATATGTGGACGGAAAACCATAGACAATGATCGTTCCACAGAGCACGGAATCTTTGATCAGCAGCCCACGATGAAATGTGAATATACAGCAACCAAGCACTTGCCAAATTCACGGCTCGGTGTACGTCGTCGACCCTACTAGAAAACACCCTCGCTAAAAAATGCTGACCATAACGAACAAATTAAACAATTTAAGCTATACTCCAGGAGTTTAAGGATCTTCATTCAGAAGAATTATGAGGTCTCATAGTGAAGGCTGAGATTGTTCGGAAGACATGAGACTGATACCACTTCTACAACAAGAGCAACAATTACCGTGGGTACATTTAATGTCCGTACAAGGTGGGAGAGCGAGAAGACGCAACATTACAAAAGACTAATACGGCTTTCCTTCAAAGCATTGATAAACTCAACCAACTCAAGATATCTCTCAACAACATGTTCCAAGCCTTACAAGATCTACTTAAAAAAGAAGAAACTACCATGAAGAACAATTGGAAAGAGATCAAACAAGCATAAAATTCAATGTGTTAAGGTGTTGGGCCTCAAGAAGTATCGTCATAAGGAACGGGTCTCAACCGAAACTCTGGACAATATTCAAAAAAGGAAGAAGAACAGATGGACGGAAATCAACAACAGCCGAACAAGGACAGAGAAGCAAACAATCTAGTGAGGGGGAACATTAGAGCCGACAGGCAGGAATACGTGTAAGACCTAGCAACGACATCGGAAAAAGCTGCAACAGAAGGAAAAATGAGACATCTATGTGACACAACGAAGAAACCATCAGGGAAATATTGTAAACCAGAGAGACTGGTCGGGTACGTAATACATACGACGGACGGTCGTGCAGCTGACAAACGCATTTCGAGTAAAGGGCGGTGTTAGAAAAGCCTGTTAACTCTCCCAATTTCTCTTCCTTCAGGTGGTTGACAGAATTATAAAATCCTCGATATTTGACGAGAAGCATGGAGTATGGAAGCAACTAGACAATTTGACTTTGTGGATGACCTGTTCTTTCTGTCCCATACACATCAACAAATGCAGGTTAAGGCAACCAGTGTGGCAGAAGCCTCTGCATCAGTGCGTACGTGTATTCCCATAATACACCGAATGCGCTACAAGTCTACGTCATAGCAAATATAAACCTAAAAAGTGGCGTTGCATAAATACTTGGTAAGACCAAAGACCTGACACAATTATGCCGAGATTGGATCTGGTGTGTGATGTGGACGCGATGCCACTTTGGAAAATATTTTGAAGACTGCTCAGTATGTCGGAAGGAATGAACTGATATTCACTTTTACAGATTATATTTATTAAACATGCATACCGTAAACTAGTAAAGTTATAATTTGTAGACCATGCCTGTAAAATTGGCGTGAACCTGCCCTTGCAGAAATATATTGTGTTTAGTAGGCTACAACGTTCACAAGGGAAAACCAACATCCTGAAATTCAACACAAAGAACACCAACCTAATCACACTTAACGGAGAAGCTCTGAGAGGGATGGAAACCTTCATGTACCCGGTCAGCATCTATGGCAAACAAAGAAGATATATAGCAGGTATGAAAACACGGATTGACGAAGCAAATGCAGCCTTTAATGTTTCGATCTGTAAAATTATGATCTGGTTAGACAATAGTACATTTATCTTTGCTACTATAATAATAGACCTTATCCTAAAATCGTGATGACATAATCCATGCGGTCTTACGTGGAAGTTTCATCGTTGTCTATACTGACTCGTCTTAGTGACAATCAGCAATATAATGTCCAATAATTCCAAAGAACATATTTCGGCTGGGGATAGAGTAATATATTAAATGTGAAAAGTAATACGTCACGTATAATGATCACTCCTGTAAAGCGGAGCCGTGCCACATCGAATTAGTGATCCCGCGTTCATCACCTTCGTCTTTCTCTCAACGTTACACGTTGAGTGCAAATCTCATTATTTGTATGTTCGGCTTCAAAGATCGTGTGCTTAAGAACCAGTGCCAATACAGATTCTCCTATCGATCAGAATATGTAAATCAACAAAAGGTTTCGAATATCTCTGTCATGTATAACCACATCACCTTCCACTTTCGCATGCTATGTTTAGCGATTGTATTTTCTTGCCAGAATAAGTATTGCTTATATTATCACCTAATTGAATAAAATAGAAACTACATCTTCTCACTGATTCCTGCCGCAGAGCTAGTGCGGATCAACCAGAACATTACTTTTCTTGATAAAAACTGAAGGCCCAACTCAGAGCTAACAACAATCAAATAACAAATATGTTATCATGTTCTGACTCACAGAGTTTGAAACAGATCGCTTTACGGTTGACTGTTCAATAAATATTTAGATTCTGAATCATTATACGTGCTTTTTCTATTTGGATCGTGTAATACAAACCTATTAGCTGCCTGGAATCGTCGGACCTATAAATGGGTCATTAGTATCCTGTTCAGATAGACCTTCTAGGTTTATTATGAGATTCCTTGACCAAAGCTTAACCTAGAAGCTATTAGTCGGCCTTCGGTGATATGGCTTGCGGAATACCTATGAAGGAAATCACAAGTCACCAGAGTTCGTCTTATTCTGTATGACTTCGGTGTCGATGATAAGTGGGATGCTATAAGGGTAAATCCTTGGACCACCCCTATTCTAATTGCTTATTAATAAGTTACCTTGTATCATAGACTCCAAAACTCTGCTATGTGGATATGATCCTAAGGTTTGGACATAGTTACTAACTCCAATTAATCTTTTTTCTCGTTAGAAAGACTCGAATAGGATATGACGTTGGACACAATAGAAACCTTCCCCCTCTCAATATTGGCAAATGTAGGGTGCAAATAGTGAACATTAGTGATGCTCTACTCATCCGGCGGTCTCTGTATGATAACACTACCACAATCGCCGTTTCGAAAAAGGGATCGGACCTCATTCTGTGTTGTATTCTAGGTGCCTGTTCCCACTGGTACTATGCAGCAACAAACTATACCCTAAATTAGGGTTACTTCCCAGGATATTACGTAGCCTTTAGGACTGCTTTCATTGTTTAATTGATAGCTCACCTGGGGAAGTACATGCCCTCTTGAAACGTGTTTAAAGAAAGGAAAGTAAGGTGTTGGAATCAAAAAATGAAATATACATACATCGTTTGAAAGCTTTATATTTGCAGTTTGTGAAACACATAAGGATCAAGGAGATATAACCTCGATGATTCGTACCACTGAAAATATTTTTCACCATGAAAGATCAGTTATGCATTTTAGTACTAATTTGTACTTATGAGGACTTCCATTTATTCTAAAACACGAAATAGCCCGTACAAAATCCGTACAAACAGTTTGTTTCCATGATAACTCAACTTCGGAATTTCTTACCATAAAGGATGCGATTTTGTCTTTAAGAGAGTTTTTAAAGGAAAGTCGAATGCTTACCTTAATTCGTAGGTACCGGGGGTGTTCATCTTTATAATTTATTAGTTAGGTTTTTCCCTTCAGTAACAAAAGAAACATAATAAGAATCATATTTTCTCACCGTTAAGAACGCTCTCCTCTCATGAAGATGTAGATCTCATGGAGCATACACTTCACTTTTTTTTATATATAAAGTTTGGTAGTCAGAAGCTTGAGACATTGAATATTGACGCAGAGTTCCAATATTCCTATTGACGAGGCACGAATTCGATTATATTTGCTGGTTACTGTTTTTTAACTGTCTCATGAAATCATTGTAACACTGCAATATATACCTATCTATACATAATATATCAATTATGGAGATCTAGTTTATTGACTTGCAAAGTATTTTGTGAGATATAGTATAATCAGCATCAGTCCTAACATCATTCTGTCATAGTATAAAAATACGTCTAATTTTACTGTTTAACCGAACTTCTGATGTCAAAGATAGCCCATGGCTAAAGGTAAAGTAATATTGATACCAGGATTACCAGGTTGGGGCTTGACTGATGGGTACTGGGAAAGTGCACTAGACAGTACCATTTTTCCCGCTAATCTCTCAGTTTCGTCTGTTGAGCCAAGTCCTATAGCTTCCCACCACGATAGAGCTTGTGAAATATTTGCACAGATAACCGGTACGTTGGTGGACTATGGATTAGAACATTCACAATTTTTCGGACATTCCCGCTGGGGTAAGGATTTTAGTAAAACACCTCCACTGTACTTAGAATGGGGACCTTCAAATCCCGTACACCTTGTGTGTCATTCTACTGCTGTAAATACAGCCAGAGTTCTTCAAAGACTTCTCGAAATCGATTTTTGGAACAAAGAAACAAGTGCTAAGTGGATTTTGTCAATTACTTCCATTAATGGTGCACTCAATGAATGTGCTGTATCAGATGTGATTAACAAGGAAATTTTACGTCTGGTTAACGGAAAATTTCTGTGCAAAGAATGCAAAAATCTTGGATGCTCGGCTTGTATTCATATAAAGGTCCAGAAGGCAGCGAAAATACTTGGTCGAGGTGTCATATGGGCAGCCATGTCAAAACTGAAACTAGACTCTGAACAACTTTGTCGAGCTTTAAACTGGTCCATAGATCACTGGGTTTCTGATACTAGTGATAATCTTCAATTTTTGTCTGAGGAGGGAGTTGTAAATAAATTGAATTCTAGTTTGAAGTGTGGAATGTTTAGTTCGGGTGATAACATAATTTACGATCAGACGCCGGAGGGTATTTCCAAGCTTGAAGAAATTCTCGACAATTCATCGAATATTAAGGGCCCCTTGAAGCGTGTTCCGGATTTTATCTACAAGGGTACATTTTATCTTTCTCTATTTTCCAGTGCAACTATGTCGTCTACTCTTTACATACCCTCTGAAATGTCGCCGATATTATGGCCATTTTCTGCTATCCTTTTGGATAAAACTAATTGCAGCTGTATTGATGATTATACAAAAGAAGCAATACATAAGATACAGAAAATAAGCACCGATGTGGACCCATTAAGGGACAATGATGGTCTGGTTACTGTAATAAACCAGTGTATACCGCGTGGAGCTGAATCATTTGTTGAAGTGTTTCCAAAACAAGAATGTTTGTTGTCACTTCATGAAAGTGTAAAGCCCGGAGTATGGTACATCGACAATGTTAATAGATGGATCGATGGAATTCAGAAAAATGAGTCTCATCTTGATGTCGACTGTGAAAATACCAGTAAAACCAATTGCATATCTAATAAAAGAAATTCCAAATTTCTGTGGGACCATTTTGATGCTTGTTGGTCGAGAACTCTACTCAAATCATCTCAGGAACAAGTACCTCTTGATTTTCAAAGATCACTTTATCGTAATGTATTTTCATACATTTCCTCTGTACAGTTTTTCTCTAATAACTCTTCTAAGTAAAATAAGCTTTTTATTACTTATTTGTGTCCTACTGATGTATTTTATCAAATCAAAGGTTCTTTCTCCAAAACTAGTTTACAAGCAACCTGAATTTATTGAATCATGACTAAAACGCTCGATACACGGTATATGAAAATATGGAATTTATATATTAACTTTTGGACTATTTTAATAATAAAATATTTATTGAAAACGTATTGCCTTTGACTGCATTTCGGTCTTTAACTGATTCGAAATTAAGGTATGCAGGTATATTGAGTGTTATTTTTCTTAGCTTTTGATGTTATAATCGACCTTGTACTTCTATTTAATGTAAGAACTAACATTTATAAGGAAGGATTCATGGAAACAGACAGGGATACAAACATAAATGGTCGATGAGGAAGTTAATATAGAGTAGTGAAGAACTCAGATACTAATAAATATAAAGAGCTAATGTAGCTGACTCGTGGATTTGAAATAACACGAAATTTAACATTTTATATGATACAAAAAAGGATAAATACGACTGGTTAAGATAAGCGTTTTTGGTTTTTTTAATAATCTTTCCAGGAATCGATTCATTATGTTCGATACAGTAAACGGGAAACTCATGTGTGTTAACCTAACATAAATGAACTTTATATGTCTCGTTTGCCATCCTATTAACTGGTTTCACTTCCAATAACGTCATGATAGACGTTCCAAATTAGGATAAACTGTTATTTAGTCTGTGTTACATTTTTCAAATGAATGACTAATTGAAGGTTCATGCTCCCATTTCGTTACCTGTGTTTTTAATTTGAAAGTGCACCTTACTCATGCCTTTCACCACAAGTAATCAATGTCTAAAAATATCTACTATTGAATACCTATTTTTTGCTCAAAGTGCCTAACACCATTTCTCAATTGTTACGACAGTAGTTTATAACAAAGTAGCCCAGAACAAATTATACTATCACTCAGATGGGTATTGAAATATCTAGCTGGAATCCAGAACGGGAGTAATTATCAAGTGTCAGTAAGGGGCGGCTTAAAGCTATATATCTTGTATAAAGTAAATTGAAGCATTTATTGTTTATTAATGCATAATTTCTACGAAGTTACAAAACAATTTCGTTTTTTAACCTATCTACAAGTAAATGGCTCAATTGGGAAGATTTGAAGGCTCAGTTGCATTTATATTTTTGATTATACTAACTCTGAGAGTAAGGTTTCATTCGGTTGTGAATAGTTGGCTAATTAATAATAACACTTACTATGTAAGATAAAGCCGTTGGATCAATCTACTAATTTATTCCATTTCTTACATGCCGTTTATTTTGAACATTTCATGACAATTGTGAGCCAACTTTCAGATGGATTTTCTATTTAAATACACTTTATTGAGTAGGAAAAGTTTACATCTACTTCAGACTAGTTTATCAATCAGATGTATTTATTTATGTCTACTTTATGATTTGGAAATAAAAAGGGGTAAAATTACTTCCCTCTTTCCATAAAGTTAATGGATGTATGTATGTGCAGTACTCAGTACATAATGTCTAATTTTCGTGTCTGTTTGCTTACCTTATCGTGTTGATTATATCTATGGACATCACAGATGACGCCTTGAATTGAATATTGATACACATACTTGTAGTGTCAATCTATTTTTAACATGTTTTTGTCTCTTAGAAGATATATTGCTGAAAATAGACATACTAACCATCGGTAAGATAAAAGTGTGAAAACTTTTATTCGGATTACTCCTAGTTGTTACTGTATATAGTTTACAACATTGGCAAAATATTAAAGAATTAATAAAAATACACAGCTACTGAGTACATGTAAAGCCTTATCTTGGGCTAGATGCTTTTCAGTTGTCGTTGCAAGTCATTTGGTGAACATAGGAACCTTGTTAACTAAGAGGAATTGATTGTATTTATAACTTAAGAACTTAATCAATAAGACCTCGAAAATATACAAACTTTATTAAATTCATCTTATATTAGAGTCAGTATATTCAAACTCTAGAGAACCGCAACGAAATCTTGAATGCTATACTCTCCTGTTAATCTCTTTGCATACTGGATAATGCTTCTCAATTGTACGTAAGAGTATCAAATGATTAGATAGGTTTATATCTCAGGATATGGAATAAAACCATTTTCTTTTCTTTTCTTTATATTGCTTAAAAACAGACTTATTTTTTATCTCTTGGACTTTTTTGCATCACATGGCCATCTGTGCAAATTATTTATCACCGTCTTGGTTTGGTGGTCGAATATGTCTTATGGCCACCCAGTTCAACCATATGGGTTGAAAACCCCGCTTATTTGGGTTGATAATTCCATAGACGTTGGCTAGCAGGTGTGAAAACTGAAGACATCAGCAAAGTCCTTCTATCAGCCGTATTGGAGTGTGGTAACAGTGAGCCTTTCACTTCAGATAGCGAGCATCTACAACAGTGCTTCTTAAAACTAAGGGAGATGGAAAATTTCAGTTCTAATAAAGGCGCACCCCACTTTGCTTTGCAAATCCCCATCACCCACAGTAAAATCCTAAAGTTACGGATCTAACAAATTAAAACCTACTTATAGAATTACCATATATGGTCAGTTTCAATCAACTGTCCCATGAGCACTGCGGTGAAGCTCTAATGTGTCCGACACCACTACTAAACTGATTTTCTTTTCAAATCCTCCAGGATAACGTTCGTTTGCACGGTATGAGCGGACAGGAAGTAACAGTCACCCTCATATCCTTAACAGCACTTAGACTAACCTTGTTTGCAAATAAGTCCCTTCCTTGTTCAATTTAAAACCAGCTGATCTATTTATGACCTAAAATAAACCTCCTCAAGATCAATTTTTATGTTTAATTACTCTTCCCTAAGTTTAGTTGATCCAAACAGGCATTTAATGATTTATACTTTTAAGTCATCGAAGTGTCATATTATAAAGAATGATAATCTGATTTCATATTACATTAACAAATCAAATATTATTAATAACTCTTAACAGCTATCATTACAAATAGTGTAAACATTAATATTTCATTCTTAGCGTAGACGTGAAAGTTGTAGATAATGGTTAGGTTTTGGAAATGTCCTTACTTAATAATCACAGCTTGGTACAGCATTTCCTCCTGACTGATAATTTTACAGATATTGCTCCCTTGGTCAAGAAATAAAATGACCTATGACAACAAAAAATTACAGTTCCTATAATTGCAGCTTTTAACAGTTCCATGTGATGCGTATTGGGAGTTTTTTTTGGTAAATCTTGCCTAATCGATGGAGAACAAAGTGATGTGATAAATCGTATAGCCATGGATGTGTGATATTGCTTTTATTCTATTCAAATGCATCATGATTCGATTACTTTAGGGTTAAGACAAACTTTTTAAAATTAGGTACAAATACTTTAGAAATAGGGTGCACAACTAGAAAAAAACACAGGATATCAAAAAGTTCATACTATTACAACTTCTAAAAGCTAACTAAAATCCCATAATCGCTCAAAATGGTTACAGCCCGTTTGACATATTTAGTTTTTTATAACTTCGATAATCAGTGATAACTAGATTGGAGGGAGGGGCCGAATGATTTATTTGAACATTATTTTAATTTTTGAGATTATTTCAAATGCGATTCCTACATTCAACATTATTTCACTCCTTACAAATGCTTATTTCAAGAAAACAGTAAACTTTTTGTGTAGAAGGTAAACCGTACTATTTTGAGCAATTCGACCCGTGATTCAATTTTAACATTTAATTCAGATTTAGTAAAGAATTTACAGGAGAAAGAGCAATAAGCTAGTCATAAGGGCTTTTGTTAGTAGACTACTTCATAATTAAATTTAAGCATACCATACTTTATTTTGGTGATTGAGTGATCTCATCTATACATGAGGTCTATGAGTAGTGCTATCATTATCTGCGATTAATAAAACTGCAACTGTATTATTATTTTTGAGTTCCTTAAGTATTATATGCCAAAAAAATTTATACTAGAATTGAGGAGTGACTGGGAATTTTACTTTCCAGATGCTTTGTTAGGAAAAATTTAGGTAGGAATATTCAAACAACAGTTCACTCTGATATTCCTGAATTTATGCTTTAGTAAGTATAAAACGGAAGTTAAATCACTTGTTGTTCTTGAGAGTATAATTAAATTGGCCTGGTCGTCAAACTAACAGTAAATTGAAGGAAGCAGAAGAAGTACATATCGAAAATAAATGCTCCCCTAGATTGGCCAATAAGAATCGGTAATCATAACAGTTTCTTCTCTGCAAAACCCATAAGGACTATTTAATAGAAAACCAGAAGAGCAAACGATTGGGAATATTAAGAGCGAGTTTAAAGTACCTATTGAAAGTAAACTGATTGCAAACCGGCCAAGTAAGAGAGACTTTTTGTTGCTTATAAGGAATTATTAGGTTGATTGGTAAGTACATTAAATATTGTTACACAAATAATTGTATTTTATGAGATAAAATATATGAATCAGCTCCATCACCTGTGATATTGTCGACAACAAAAAAACATCACTCTCCATAACAAGATATCACCAATTATCTGTTAGATGATAGACAAAATGTCTATTTTCACTTGGTGTTGTTTACTTGTATCTTCCCATTGTTATTTAGGACTGCGGTTGATCAATCTCTTATTGGTTTATGTGCATCCTGTACGGATTGCCTCAATATTACTTGAAGTCACAAGCTTTATAAGAAAAGATAGATGGTGGATAGCAGTGGAATCCACGACGAGCGTCCCGTCCTATTTAAGAATCGTCAACTGGATGTACCTACATCTCAGAGTTGATGTTCACTCTAATCAGACTGATCAATCGCAGTCCTAGATAACAATGGGAAGATACAAGTAAAACAACACCAAGTGAATATAACTTCATCCCATCGCACAATCAGGTGGCTATCAGGACTCAGTAGCTAAGTGGATAACGCGATGGTGCTTGAAGTGAACGGTACTGGGCTCGAGTTCCAGGGTGAACATGAACTCGCAGGTACATCCAGCTGACGAGTCTCGAAGTAGGACAAAACGCGCGTCCTGCATTCCATCTTTGCTTATAAAAAATGTCTATTGTTATCATTCGGAAAGATACAAAGCTATCGATCGACTTAATCAAACCAGAAAACTCCAACCTTGAATTTAGTAATGATTTAATATTCCAAGTGTCTTGACGAATAAAATACATGTTTTTTAGAAAAAAAGTTGGTGACCAACAAAATTTGAGCGGAATATCGTTTGAAAACAAAACTACTATTGTTTCATATAATTCACATGATTATCATTAAAATTACTAAATTGACATTGTGACATTATATTGGCAACTACTCAGGAAATTCAACAAAATCAATCCTAAAATAACCTAGAAACAATTTCTGTCAATACTACTACTACTGCTACCACTACTAGTAATAGTATTAATAATAGAAAGGCACTTTTTACACTTTTTCTGAATGTATTTTTTTGTAATTACATCAGGTTATATAGAGACTTGAC